TATATATATATATATATATATATATATATATATAAACACACACACACATATATATATAAATTAGCATAGATTGTTTGATTCCAACAGCATAAAATAGCAAGATAAGTCAAAACAGCAAATTAACAAAACTGAAGAGCATGCATGATTTGGTGTCACAGTTTACAACATATAATTAAAATAAAACACAAATCATACAGTAAACAAATATACATGTACTGTAAATCATAAAATTACCTCTGAGGAGGGTATATTTGAGTCCTTTTTTTCCAAGCACCTCTAGAATCCTACTCTCTTCCCATGTGGTATCTTTACAAACAATGCAAAGTTAAGGTTGTATTTCAGGAAATATAAATAAAATATTTTTTTAAAGAAACATAACTAACCTATTGTTTAACAGTAACGTTTTTCATCTCACATTTAACTGATGATAATGATGCAATACTTATCTTCCAACAGGAACTACTACAACACAACTGAAAACCAGCTTAGCGAAAAAAAAACAAAAAAAACGTCAAGTCTTGGTTTTATGTATCCATTCCTTTCTCAGTTAGTTTTAGCCTTCAGCTTGATGTTAAGATTGTCTTTATAAGTTCATTTAAACTAAAAATTAAAATTTATGTTAAAAATAATAAATGTTTTTTGTAAAAGTTTATTACATTTAATTAACAATCATGTATTAAAGTTATAGAATAATCTTTCACAGAGAAAAAAACTGGATGATTTATGATATTTTTGACTTAAAAGCTAGAAAAGTTCAAAATAATAAAAATAAACTCGGTAAAAATAATAATGCTTGGAGACGGCTTGAATGGGTAATGAAGAAAAACTTTAACATAACAGCAAATGTAAAACGTTTCGACAAGGCTTTGTCATCATCAGGTACCTTGTCGAAACGTTGTTCATTTGCTGTTTTGTTAAAGTTTTTCTTCATTACTCATTCAAGCCGTCTCCATATACTATTAATCTCAAAGTGGGTTCCTCGTCATCAAATCAGTAAAAATAAATTCAGTAAATTTGATATTTAATTACCTACAAAAAACATCCGCATGCACATAAAGAAAAAAGCAGAAAAATTCCATCAATCAAAGATTAGACTACTTTCAGAGCAAAATTTTCTTTTGGAAACTCTTGGAATACTTTGTGCAAATAGTTATGGCAATACTTAACATCTTTCTTATTTATCTACCAGTTATCAAATATACAAGTACTGTATTGGCCCAATTATAAGACGATGTTTTTTGATTAATAATTAAGCTGTAAAATTCACAGTCGCCTTATAATCTTGGCCGACCACAGGCTCCTTACCCCGACTCTAGCCTGTCACGTTCCTGAATGTCCAGATACCATCTGTCTACGCATGCTCGCCAGATGTTCCCTCAAGATCATCGCTAATTCTTGCAAGTAATCTACCAGCAGGCTGTTCAGTTACAGTATTGATTTTGTGGACCTAAAAGGGGACGTTATGACACCCAATTTTTTTCTTTCCGATGGTTTCTGAAAATGGGAGTCGCCTTATATTCGAGATCACCCTATAATCGGGCCAATACGGTATATATATTTACAAACAGGTACTTTTATGGAAAAACAAAATACGGAATCTAATTCATAAATTAGCAATTTTATACTCAACAATATTTTTATATCAATGACACATGTAAAAAAATCTTAGGGTTTAATCCTTGCATACTCTTTATTCTTCCAGTTATGTAACACACGCACAAAAAACCTGCACATAATGATACATTTCATAATGAGTGCACACTTGCTATGTGAATGAAAAAGTTAAATGCTGTTACAACAACTGTTGAAGAAACACTAAGAAGAAACCTACCTTTTGAAACAACACTGCTTTGTGATTTTGTATCAATATGCAGTATCTCTGTTGCTCCTTGTGTTGAGGAAAACGTTGTTCCTAATTTTCCTCTTTCAACTTTAGTATTAATGCCATCAAGTCCCGATTCTTTTTTGTAGTTTTGTTCTATCTCCTCAGCTTTTGTTACATTTACTAATCTATCATTATTTTCCTGTCTTTGAACAGTCTTTTCTGTCAAATTTGAGGCACAATCATTTTTAGCACCTCTATTATTTGATTTTTCTTGTACTTTGAGTTCTTCTGGCCTTTTGTTGTCTAACTGTGTGGAATGCATTTTAGATGATTTTATTTCTATTTTTTCTCCATTCAATTCCACTTGACTAACCACTTCCAACTCCTTAGTATTTGCCTCACTGGTATGATCTTCATCTATTATAAGTTTGTCTTCCGCTAGCTCATCATCATCATCACCAGAATGCAATCCATCCAAAGTACCTTGATTTTGTTTATTTTCTATTTCAGTCTTTGTTGACGTACTTTTTTCAATTAGAGAGCTATTTTGTCCATTTTGAAAAGATGTACAATTTTTGTTACTGTCATTTTCAGTTAAACTGATAGTTTCACTACCAGGGTGAGGCTCTTCTTTAAGTTTTTTAGACACAGTACTCTTTTTTGACTGCTCTAAGTACCTTTTAGAACGCCCTCGTTTCTTCCCTGAACTTTTTTCTGAACTGTTACTAGTAGTAGAAGTTCGTCTTATTCTATTTTCCTCCTCTTTGATTTCAATCTTTCCTGATCAAAGGAAGACAGCAATTATTATCAAAAAAAGAAACATTTTAGCTAATTAAAGTGTTGATAATATAGCTAACAATACGGTTAGCATTAACAATATTCAAAACAAATAATAAATTGAGTGTCATAACAGAATAAGAAAATGTCGTTAACTATAATCAAAGCTCTTTAAAGCAAGTTTTTACTTTTATTCAAAATGTTGTATAAAATATAAAAAGTTAGTGTAGTTTATGTTTTATATATATGTGTGTGTGTGTGTGTGTGTGGATATATATATATATACGTCATGTAAATGATGTTTCATATTATTATAAAGTTAACATTCTATTGTTTGAATATTCAATTTGGATTTGCTTAACAAATACTAAATTATGAACTTAGAAAAAAATATTCCCATTAACTTGCAATAAATTCCTCTAGAGAGAAGGTTCATCTTATATAACTGGAAAAAGGCCTTTTAGAAAATGTAGTTGGATATCTCACCTTACCACAAGAACTTAACATTTTTGTATTACCTTTCTTGTTTTTTGTTTCCAATATTTGCCCAAAGCTATGAGGTCTATCTGTGCTAGCTGTCCTTTAATTTTGAACTGACAGATTAGAGACAATGCAGCTATTCAACAGGCACCCACTGCCAACTCTTGAGCTTTTCTAATCAAATTTAGCCATCAGTCTTATAATACATCCACAGCTCTAAAAAGTGAAGCATGATTTTGAGGACCCATAATACCGACCCTCGATCTCGCAGTTGATTATCACAACTAACAGGCTATATCTGGTCCCACTGCTTTCTAACTGATTGTTTCCAAACATGAATAACAACCTTATTTTTCAGACTGTACATAATTTTATGAAAATATAAATTTTTTATATATAAACATGGCATTCACTTAAGTTATATGACTAGGCAGAAAGTGAATTTATCACCTAATGATCATCAACTGTGTCTTTTACACCAATGTTTCCCATTCCCAGCCCATGGATCACAATCCAAAATTCAGTCTTCAGAATGTGTAAAAGGGTCACAAATAGACTTTGAATATATACAAGTTTATTTATTTGGACATCTATGTTTGCATCTTGTTCTTTAGCCAAAAGCAGTTGAAAACCACTGTTCTACAACCTTTGTTCTCTGATAGGCTTATGATGTCATTTTATCAAAGTTTCTCATAGTTTACAACAGACCCCTTCACCCACCTGTTGTTTCCATATGTATATGAAAAAACAGTAGAACACATACACACACATTTGTTGTGTTCAGATGTAGTCTCATGACAGTCTTGATGAATGACTAAAAAACAATTTATCAGAAGAGGTACACCCTAAGATACGAGGTCCTGGATAAGAGTAACTTAAAAGTTGTTAAAAACTTGTGGACTGTAGAAGAGAGTTACCCAGAAGGAGTTAGTTGGCTGCAGCATCAAACATCAGAGACTTAACTCACTAATCTAAATTTTTGACTTGAAATGTAAGAGCACATTTTGCCCCTGGAAATTATGAATAAAAAGCTAGTTGGTGACTTTCTATTTGTTTCAAGTGTTAAAATTGTTAAAACTTAATTATATTTGAAGTTAGATGACAAATAACAGAACCTGGTCTTTCCTTTAAGTTCTAGTTGTCAAATGCATGTGGTCTCAAGTCACAATACTAACATTACTGCACAAGTCAGGCCTAACAATATATGTTATCTAGCCCACCTTTACTTTCTGTCAATCTGTGATTAAAAATCAGCAAATATTACGCACATCTTCTATTAACTGTTAGTAGCAGACAAATTACTTTATTGGGTTCAGAGTCTCTGAAAATGAGAAAAAATCGTTGTAGAAAAATATAATTCTACTAATAAACATTGTTTATAACCAATGTATGTTTATTTCACTACCAGACAATTATAAAGTTTATCTGTCATTGAAAATATGATGTCTAGCAACTCTTCCAAAAAGAATAATATATGGATATACATAATTATCATGTTTTGTTTAAAGTAACAAAGTATTAAAAAAAGAAGTACATCCAGATGATAGGACTTTCGTGTAAGCACTTGACTATTCTTTTAAGTATTGTACTAAATAAATACTAGTCAAAATCTGCTCATAAAGACTGTTAATCACAAGAGTTGAACCCTGTGATCAAGAGACTACATCTTTTCAGTGATAAATCATTGAAAGGTATAATAACAACACTGCAAAACACTTAGCTTTAGGCATCTTTAAACTCAAAATTTCTCTCAGTTTCTTTAAACAAGTTCTCTAATCCCTGTTAAAATATTTTTGTTTTTAAACAACCTAAAATAATTGTTAACAATTATATTAAATCTGTATAAATCTACTTACAGCAATAATTAGAAGTCAATACTGAAGAGTTAAACATACAGTTGAAAATCTGCAAGGTTATTATCAAGAGTACTTCCAATACAGTTTGCATAAAGAATACATAAATGTTCTAAAAGTTTAAAAACAGCTATTTGTATGTTTTTAATTCATAATATTCCTATTGGTAAAACTATTAAAAAGTAAGAAAATAACCTCAGGAAATTGGCTTGATGAGTATGGCTGAATTTATCATTTTTATCATATTGTTAATGTTAAAACTTTTGTTCTATTTAATTATTGTACTATCTGTAGCAATTAAAACATCATGTTGTGATTTCTGAAATAAGGTGTTTCAGTAAGGAAACATGATGTGATGCTACAAGTTAACATTTGTATTATGATTTAAATGGCAGGGTTATAACTACTGAGACGATAAAGAATGATGGTTGGAATTAGTAATTTTATTTACTGAGATATTGTATAAGTGATTTGATGTGTGTGTGTTAATATTAGTATCACAGCACTTATTCCACTGATTAAACTGTGGTGTTATAACTACTGAGACGATAAAGAATGATGGTTGGAATTAGTAATTTTATTGTATTCTTCATGTTGAAACATATATTCTTCTTACAAGCTTGTACAGTTCAGCTAATGAGGCTTTATGTGTAGCCACAGTTTAGTCAGTGGAATAAGTGCTGTGATACTAATATTAACACACACACATCAAATCACTTATACAATATCTCAGTAAATAAAATTACTAATTCCAACCATCATTCTTTATCGTCTCAGTAATTATAACACCACAGTTTAATCAGTGGAATAAGTGCTGTGATACTAATATTAACACACACACACACCAAATCACTTATACAATATCTCAGTAATTATAAACATAAAGTAAAGTCAGTAAAGTGTTAGAAAATTAATAATGCAGTAAAATAGTTAGTTCAAACATATTCATGTTTCTCAGTAGCTGTAGATGCTCAATTCTTTAATTTTAAAAAATGTTGCAGCATTAGTAATACAGTTTAACAGAAGTCGTGAGGTGACGCAGTACCATATTTATACATAAAAAAGATACGTATAAACCATTCTCATACACTTAATACTACTGCAAGTTTCAGAAACATCCACAGAAGATTATATACACACATCTGTATTTTCAGGAAGCTTATCTTATTATGCAAACACTTCATACCTTGCTTTATTAGCTGACTCCTTTTCTTTTCAAAACTTTCATCTTTTTCACTTGACTAGAAGAAATAATAACCGTTCAAGTTACAAAAGATGAAAATATTTCCCATGCAAAATATTAAAAAAATTTTATACATAGATATTCTTTAACTTTCACTATGTATTAGTGTGTACGTTTGTACTTGTGAGTATAGGGGGAATTGAAGTACAAGTGTTGAAAACCGACGAAGTACTAGATTTCTTCAAAAATGATCTCGGAAAAATCTAGTGACAAATAGTGTAATTTACTGGCAAGACTATAATATATAACTACAGGGTGTCCCTAAATTCTGGACACATAGGAAATCTCATTAATTATATTTTTTTTTACCTCCACAGATTAAATATGGCTTTGTCGAAAAAAGAGAGAATTGGACTGGTACTTCTCAGTGGACGTGAAGAATGGTCATATCGAAAGATAGCAGATGAATTTAATGCACGTCATCC